TATTTCTCCTTCTCTGTGTTGAAGATCTCACCTTTCTGGTGTCTGGGCTTCCGCAGTTTCTTTTTCTTGAAGTGAGCATTGGTAAGGTGCTTTGGGATTTTTACTTGGCTAATATCAATTTTTGTGGAGGTGGCAATGACAAATTTCTGGTGCATTCTATGCAGTGGAACTTGATTGAGAACCAGTGGTCCATTTACAAGTAGCAAGCCACTGCTCAGCTGCTTCAGGAAAACCACTGTCTTGCCTCTGTGGCATCCAGTGAGGATGATCAGAATGGTCCCAGGAGTGATGCTGGCTCGCAGCTTTCTCACAGGCTGACTGAAGGGTTTTATACTGTGGCTCAACAGCTTTCAAGGCACGTCTTCGGTAGGATAATACCTAGGCATTTTGTACAGTTTAAACACCCGGGTACCACCATTCTTGTCTCCACCTGGTTTTGTGACAGTCGCAAGAAACTTCTCCTTTTTCTTTTCAATCCTGGATTTAGTAGCCAAGTATTTCCTCTTGTACATGACCTTCCTGGAATACATGGCAGACCAGGAGTATCTGCCAATGCCTCGGACTAGGACAGGGTTTCAGCCACAATGAGGCTTCCCCTTCTTGGGCTTTTTAGCCTTGGGGTCACCCTTTTTAACCCTGCCACTGGCATCAGCCTTCTTTGCTTCAGGTTTCTTCTTAGTATCCTGCTTTGCAGCTTTTTCACCTGCCATCTTTTTTTTTTCTTTTGAGAGGTTTTTGCTATAGGGCGTGTGCACTTGCCAGACAGACAGAGAGAGACAGAGAGACAGAAAGCAAGAAATCACCCCCCAGGGGGGATGACCACACCACAATCCCTTCTCCCCCCTTCTCTTTTCGGGATCTTGGGCACGTACGCACTCGCGCCCAACGTGAGTTTAAGCCACCGAGTCCGGGACTCGAACTACGGTCGACTACATGGAGTCCAGCGACATAGCCATTATGCTAACTGCTGGTCCCATCACCTGCCATCTTGTATAGTGGGAAAGCCATGGTGGATATTTCAAGTCATTGAACTATCTTCCTCCGGGGGGTTGGGTTGGGGAAAGACTATGCTGCAATCCCTTCTACATTCTCCTCTCAGGGTCTTGGGCATGCATGCACATGTGCCAGGCATGAGTTTTGAGCCACCAGGTCCAGAACTCAAACCATGGTCAACTACGTGAGAGACCAGCAATGTAACCAACCATTACTCTATCTGCTGGTCTCTATTCATACTTTCTAAAAAAATATTTGTTTACTTTTTATTTATTATTATCATTATTTTTTACTGTGACTACTGAGAAACAGAGAGAGAGAGAGAGAAAGTGAGAAAAGAAGCTGCAAGATTCTAGACTTGAACCGCCGTCAGCCATGAGGGAATCCAGCACTTTAACCACGTCACCTTCTGGTCCCACTATTCATACATTTTAAATGTGCTATGCAGTGAAGTGTTCAGCCAAATGTACAATATTAACTCACTCATAATTACATAAGGGGGGGTCTTCAAAAAGTTCATGGAAAACATATTAAGAAAATATTATGGATTTCAGAATTCTTTGCACCAAAATAAACCCATACTTTAATCCCATTTCCATAAACTTTTTGAAGTGTCCTTATAATATACTTGTCTGAATATTCATTCAGTTTTGTAATAAGTATCCTTTTAGGTATTGTTTAGAAGAGGTGGATTGTTTAGAATTGTGCCCATGAAAACTCAGTTACTAGGGGAACCAGCAGTTAGCGTAATGGCTATGTCGCTGGACTCCCATGTAGTTGACCGCAGTTCGTGTCCCGGACCCGGTGGCTTAAAACTCACGCCGGGCGCGTGTGCGTGCGTGTCCAAGATCCCGAGAAGGAGAATGGAGGAGAAGAGATTGCGGCGTGACCATCCCCCCTGGGGGGTGATTTCTCACTTTCTGTCTCTATGTCTCTCTCTGTCTGTCTGGCGAGCGCACGCACCCTACAGTGAAAATCTCTCAAAAAAAAAAAAAAAAAAAACAGTTACTAGAAGGGTCAGATTGTCCATACAAAATCCATTAGAGAGGGGGCTCATAGGATCCATTCAAGTTTGTTAATTATATAACATTGCTATCACTAGCCAGATTCAGCAATTCCCCTTCAAGGAAAGGGCTTAGCTACAAAATCCACAGTCCTGTTTCTGTGTGACCTAACCACCTGAAAAAATGTGAGCAAGAGGTACTCCAACCTAATCCTCCATTATTTGTATGAACGTTTATCCAAGCTGGTGGCTTCTCTATTCCAATGGTTTTTGGATTTAAAGAGCTATAAAACTATTTAATATCTCTGATTGCTTTTATGAAAAATAACAATCTCTAGTCAACTGTACTCAGACTTGACTTTTCTGTATTAAAATCTAATTTTCCTTTGAAAAGAATAGGTATTATGCAGAGTACAAAGAGTTGAAAAAAGACTAATTTGATTAACAAAACGACTAATTTGTCAATCTGAATATTAGTAGCATTTATTGAACAGTCTACTGTTATAGGACCATTCCATTTTCAATCTACATCTCAGAGCAAATGTAAGAAATGAATTTGAGATAAATACAGACTGAGATAGAAACAGATTGATCTGGGGGCTGATAGGTGGGATGATGGTTGGAGTACTGGACTCCCACATGACCGACTACAGTTTGAATCCCAGATCTGGTGGCTTGCTTTCTCACTTTCTCTTTCTCACTCTCTGTCTTTGGTAAAATTAAAACCTAATCTTTAAAAAACCTAAATAACAATAAAAAATAAATAAATAAATCTTTAAAAAAAAAAAAAAAGAAAGAAACAGATTGATCTGACCAATTAGAACAAATCTCTCTGTCTCTTAAATAAAGATTCAGTAAGCTAAGATAATCATAGTCAGTTTCTTGCATCATCCCTGGTCCATCAGAGGTCCCTCTCCTGACTCTTGGATAAATGGGATATGAATGAAAAGGATGGGCATCCACTCAGAGTCTCTTGAGTTGATCTCAGTGCAGCACTTTTGTTTGCACTCAAGTCACCAGGCAACCTGTACCTAGTCCCTCAGAGGAACTCTTGACACCACTGACTTCCTTTTCCCAATAGCTATCTCCCTCGTGTATTATCACCAGGCTCAAGAAGTGGAGGCAGTGAAGAGATTTGTGCAAGGCCAGCAGACTGAACTGCAACCAGGCTGGGTTCCAGGAAGCAAGTCCTGAGAGAGGCTCGTCATCGGCTGAGGGAAGTCCTGCAAAGGCTGTGAGCTGTGGCCTCTCAACTTTCCCAAGAGCTGGGATGAAGTCTTCAGAACTACAAGAGGATAAAGCTTTGGATATCATGACACATGGCTGTGCAACTTCTGGCCTCTCCAGGGTGGGGCTGCAGTTTTTCTGCCCAGAGTGGTAATGTGTGCTTTTCTGCCCGAGGCAACGTGAGAATGAAAAAAGTGACAAGTAGAAAGCTCCCCCTAGGTTGTTGGGGCCCTGACTGCTTTACTCTAGGCTGATATTTTGGCTCTATTTGGAACTCTATTTACTTTTTTTAGTATCACAGATTTCTTAATTTTACATTACTTTTTTTTTTTTTTTTTTGAGACCCATGGACTTCCTTCCTCCCTTGTTAGCTTTTCCTGTATGGCTTCAAGGAAAAAAGTCATGAGCTGAGCTGGCCCCCTTGGCTTAATGGTTAAGGGACCTGGATCCTACGTGGCTGACAGAGTGGTCTGGACTCCAGCCCCAAAAGATTGAAAAACATACCAGGTGTGTGTGAATGTTTGTCCGAAAATCCTAACAGGATGGCGTAATGGAGGTGAAGGGATTGCAATGTGACCATGCCCCACTAAGAGGTATTTTTTCCTTTCCCCTTCTTTCTCTGGTGAGTTTGTACACCCTCTGGCAAAATAAATAAATAAATGAAGTCATGTGTTCATTTGTCACCTTTTCAGAAATCTTAAGATTCTATGAAAACCAAATGATCAGTTTTCAAGTCAAAATTGAATAGGAAGAAGGCACCACTTTCCACAGTTCTAGAGAAGGAGGAATAAAGAGAACTTCAGAAATGAGCAGAGCAAGTACTAGTTCTTGACTTTTATGAAAATTTCAATTAAAAGTTTATGACCTTAGGAATTTGGAAATTAACAGAAGACAAAGAAACTACATGTGGTGATAAAATATTACATCAAAAATTGAAACTTGGTAAAATTATGAACCTTTCACAATCCCATAGGATGTCACAAATGTGGAATCATTACAAAATAATTTTGACAGAGATGACGTAACATTCACACAAAATGTATTGGGAATTTCAATGAAATGTATTCAGTTAACATCCTGTATTGACTATTAATAATTAAATGTCAGATCAATAAATATTATATCATTTGCAAAGGAAAGAGTTAATTTATACATTCTAACAGTGCAGCAGAACTAACTTCTGTTGAGGAGGGAAGGGCACGTACATAACTTGTACCACATCAGGAAGGCCTCTCTATAATTGTAAGATTGAAATATCATTTCAGTAAGTTTTTAAAAATTTATTTTTCGTAACTTTTTCTAAAATTATTTATATAGTTCAGTTGTGATGCCACAGGCAGTAGGCACCACTGCATGCTGGGGGTCATGCGGACAAGCGAGGATTCAGATCCTAGGTAGACCTGAACATTCTGGATGTACCACATGTACCCATGAGCCTGGCTGGCTGCAAGGCTGGGAGAGGAATGCAGCATGGTTAGACCTTGTTAGGTAGTACTATCTCTTTCTCTCTCAATAAATAAATAATAAAGTTTATATGTATTTATATACACCCAGACACACACACATATGTACACTTACACGTAAACATACATGATTCGCACAGTACTATAGAATTGGTTTTTGTGCTTTCCAACTTACATAAGTAATACAATTTTGGCAGTTCTACATTGTTTTGAAAGAGGTTTTTTCTCTTTTGGATAGTTTGGAGGATTCATGACCTCCCTCAACCCTGCTCTCCTGATACAATAATCATGCCCCGTGCTGCTCAGTAGCACCTGCTCAGCGAAGCAGATCCCCCGACACTGTGGTTGGAAGCCAACCATCGTATTGTCATCATAATTGCTTTTGAGCCAAGGGGACTCACAAGTCACTCAGGTAAGACCTTGACACATAATGAAATATAATGCCTACTAATGATTAATCACATGTAAAATGCCTCAGGTGTCCACAGAACATTTGAAAGACATAGAAAATTTTGCAAGACTTCCTTAGAATTTTTGGTAGTTCATGATATTATCCTTGTCATGGGTCATGGGATCCTAAGCCTAAAATATTTTATAAGCTCTGAGGTTACAATTAATTGGTCTACCTAACACTCCCTCTTTGAGCATGATTTGGTCCTCCAAAAACTTGACCAAACAGAGCAGACTATCATTTTTTCATAAAAAGAAATTGGGGGTACTGTAAATTACAACTTCCTTCAGTACCCAGTAGTAGATTATTTGCAGCTTTGGCACTATAAATTATATTTTGATTCCTAGTCTAATGTGATGGTTAATTTTATATGCTAAACTGACAGAACCAGAGATGCCCAGATACTTGGTTAAACAATATTTCTGCATGTGTCTGTGAGCATATTTCTGGGTGAAATTAATATTTGAATCCATAGACTGAGAAAAAGAGATAGCCCTCCCCAATGTGGGTGGGCTTCATCCAATCAGTTGAAGACCTGAATAGAGTAAAATGTTGAGTAAATAAGAGAATTTTTTTTGTCTTTGAGGTTGTAACAAAACTTTCATCTCAAGAAAGGATATTAGTTAATTTTCATTCTTCAAAATTTTCATCTTTTTCTTATTTTCTCTGTTTCATCAAGCCGTGTCCGTCTGTCTTTGAGTGAAGACATTGGTTTTCTCCTGAAGGACTCAGACTGGAATCTTCACCATCAGTTCTCCAGAGTCTCCAGCTTGCCAACTGCAGATCTTAGATTTCTTCAGCTCCATAACTGAATAAGCCAATTCCTTATAGTAAATTATACATAATAATACTATCTATATAATATTATAATCTCTTATTTATTCTGTTTCTCTGGAGAATCCAGACTAACACATCTAATATTTCCACAACACTAGAGGTTCTTGAACTCTGTGTGTATTAAATCCACTCAGAATTCTAACTTTTAATATGATTCTGAAGAAAATGTCAGACATTCCGAAACTTGAGATTTATAACATAATACTTTCGAATCTGATCACCTTTGACAAACAGAACCTAAACAATTCAAGAACACTTAAAATCATCTGTTCACTATACTAACCAATGCTTTGTGATCACTAAATACCAGGCTTTGTTGAGAATGCTTCACTTATATTAACTTAGATACTTCTCACATCTCTGATGCTGGTATCATCACTATCTCCATTTAGCAATGAAGAAGCTGAGAACGGATGTTAAATAACCTGCCCAGGGTTGTACAGCTAATAAGTAACTGAATAAGGGTTGGATCATGGACAGTCAACCTCAGTCAATCTACTGTTGAGCCTATGCACTAAGATTTGACGCTTGATAAGAAACTGTGACTGTTGACTTATTTTGACGATGATTTGGCACTGCACTTAGAAAAATCAAATCCTTCTAGTCCAATATCTTTAAGGTTTAATATGCTTTCCTTACTACACTCAATACTCCTCACAGTAAAATTTACACTCTGTGTTCTCTACTACTGATATAAAAGCTCAGTTATAAATCATTATAAGTACAGCTTGATTAGATTAGGAAAAGTAGAAAATAGCTACCCTTTTAGAGTAACGATGCTAAGTGCTACAGTAATAACCTTCATAACACGACGTCATTGAAACCTTCCTCCTGCGGTGATACTTTTTTGAACACACACTACGTGAACTGTAATTGTTCTCAACACTCACAGTGCATCAGTATCATCCTGGAGCTTTTCACACCTAAAATGCAAGCTCCCAGTCCTGGAGGTTCAGATCCGATTTATCTGGACTGAATCACAGCAGCATGGGGCTTATCTTAACCTTAACCTTCCCTAGCTAATCCTGATGTGTGGTGGGAGTTGCACTAAGTGCTTTACATGGGAGGTTTATTTAGACCTTAAGAAAAGTCAGTGAGGTTGGTACTGTTTTCCTCATTTTATTTATGAGATATTGGTTCAGAGAAGTTAAATAACTTGGCCAAGTGACGACGGGACCAAGCAGGGAATTTGAACCTGCGTCTTGCAGGTTGTTGCCACAATCAGCAGACTGTTCTCCCTAGCAGCAATCCCACTGTGGAATGCCATGCAGGGCCTGGTGTGGCTGGGACTATATTTCTAGTATTTCATTGCTCTCATCTACTACTAAGCCCCCTCTATAGCCTCCCACTCTCCAGGGGACTTGCTCAAAAGTGTATGCCATGCCATATTATTACAGCTTTATTGGCTCTACTGTGAAGTTAGGACATCTTTCCAGATGGCAGCAAAGTTCCAGCCTAGAGCAAAGCAAAACTGACAACAAGGGGAGGCTGCATTCTACCTACTTAGAATACCTCTTGGCTGCGACTAGTGTACCTCATGCTCGAAGTAAATTAGTTTAGTCACACCAAGTCAGAGACCCAAGAGGGAGACATTTGGACTCAGGCAGTTTGCCAGCACACGTCTGCAGAGAAGTATTTCCATAAACCACCACACTAATATTGTGCCCAGAAGCTTTTCTGGTGCTTGGCTTTATGTTTTACAATTTCACTCTGAAGTATTAGGTTGTCGGGAAAGTCATGATGTATTGTTCTGTTTCCCTATGCAAAAATGCGCCATGACTTTCCCAACGACCCAATAGTTTTTGCAGTGAAAAAAAAAAAAAGAACAAACCAACACCTAAAACACCTCTTTCTTCCCTGACAGCCACTGAGAAATGAGAAAGCCCATAGTCTTGGACTGAGCTTAATAATCACCCGTTACCTTTATACCTACCCATTAGTTATTTCACACACAATCACATGAGCTCACAGGTAGGTATGGAAAGCTGAATCTGGGCCCAGGTTGTGGCACAGAGGTAACACAACAGTACCCTGGGATCATGTCCTAGGACCTCCCTGAGCACTTAGTGATGTGGGCCAGCTGAGACTAGAGGTAGACCACGGTGCAAAGACTGCTGGGGTTGCCTGGCTTTTTGTCTGTCTGTCCGTCTCCATTGTGCTCTCTCATGGAAGAAATAAACTTTTAAAATAAAAAGCTAAGTGTCTATGTTTAATGCACATAGTTAAAGTGAGTCTTACCACCTCCCCCCACCAACAAAAAGGAAGGAAAGGAGGAAGGAGGGCAGAAAGGGTGGGAGCGAGGAGAGGGTGGGAGCAAGGAAAATACTGCCTCCACTACGAAACAAGCCTAAAAAGCTACAGGTCCCATTGCTTCCCACCCTTGTTTTTCTGATTCTCCTCCTGTGCCTTGTAGGGTGAGCGTGTGCCTGTCATGTACACCCTCCTTTCAGGACAGCTCCACGTGGTCTTAGCATGGACTTGATTGCTCCCTTCCTGCAACAGGGAAACGCTCTCACCCTCACGCCACCAGACTCCCTGGTTTCTGCCCTTCCCTGAAGAATCTATACAACTCCTCTTTTCTCAGACTTTAAATTCATGCAGATCTTCTAGAGGTCACTCCTTCCCATCTCTTTCGTCCATGGCTTTCGTCTTCTGTAGACTCCTGAGAACGTGACCTATGTTTCCTACTGCCCTCATCAGACGGTTCAACTGCCTCTTATCAACATCCTCCATGGCTTCCCTTTCCTTCTTTGTCTCCCCACAACCTGAAACCCCCTCCTACTCTGCTTCTACCTCATTTGATTCTTTTCTATATTCGTTATGTATACTGCAAGTATTTATTGAGTAACAAGTCTATCAGGCGCTGCGAGAAGACCCAGAAGCTTTTCTGGTGCTTGGCTTTATGTTTTACAATTTCACTCTGAAGTATTAGGTTGTCGGGAAAGTCATGATGTATTGTTCTGTTTCCCTATGCAAAAATGCGCCATGACTTTCCCAACGACCCAATAGTTTTTGCAGTGAAAAAAAAAAAAAGAACAAACCAACACCTAAAACACCTCTTTCTTCCCTGACAGCCACTGAGAAATGAGAAAGCCCATAGTCTTGGACTGAGCTTAATAATCACCCGTTACCTTTATACCTACCCATTAGTTATTTCACACACACAATCACATGAGCTCACAGGTAGGTATGGAAAGCTGAATCTGGGCCCAGGTTGTGGCACAGAGGTAACACAACAGTACCCTGGGATCATGTCCTAGGACCTCCCTGAGCACTTAGTGATGTGGGCCAGCTGAGACTAGAGGTAGACCACGGTGCAAAGACTGCTGGGGTTGCCTGGCTTTTTGTCTGTCTGTCCGTCTCCATTGTGCTCTCTCGTGGAAGAAATAAATAAACCTTTAAAATAAAAAGCTAAGTGTCTATGTTTAATGCACATAGTTAAAGTGAGTCTTACCACCTCCCCCCACCAACAAAAAGGAAGGAAAGGAGGAAGGAGGGCAGAAAGGGTGGGAGCGAGGAGAGGGTGGGAGCAAGGAAAATACTGCCTCCACTACGAAACAAACCTAAAAAGCTACAGGTCCCATTGCTTCCCACCCTTGTTTTTCTGATTCTCCTCCTGTGCCTTGTAGGGTGAGCGTGTGCCTGTCATGTACACCCTCCTTTCAGGACAGCTCCACGTGGTCTTAGCATGGACTTGATTGCTCCCTTCCTGCAACAGGGAAACGCTCTCACCCTCACGCCACCAGACTCCCTGGTTTCTGCCCTTCCCTGAAGAATCTATACAACTCCTCTTTTCTCAGACTTTAAATTCATGCAGATCTTCTAGAGGTCACTCCTTCCCATCTCTTTCGTCCATGGCTTTCGTCTTCTGTAGACTCCTGAGAACGTGACCTATGTTTCCTACTGCCCTCATCAGACGGTTCAACTGCCTCTTATCAACATCCTCCATGGCTTCCCTTTCCTTCTTTGTCTCCCCACAACCTGAAACCCCCTCCTACTCTGCTTCTACCTCATTTGATTCTTTTCTATATTCGTTATGTATAC